GTCCGGGCTGGGCTATAGTTGTGGGTGCCGGTCTGGTGTGTCCTCAAACAAACTCAGCAAATTAGTTTTGACTCAGCAAATTAGTTTTGACAGCTTTCAGCTTTCCATGGGTTTTGTGCTAATATACATTTACAATGAAGAAAAAAACATTAGTTGATTCATATTGAGATCAACATCAAGGTTTCCTTATGTTTCAACATGAGCTGAATCAGGATTGAGAATCGGGCATTTCTAAACTACAGACATAAATCAAAAACATTTAGTTTTACAGATCAAAATAATCTTCTCTCTTGGATAGTTCCCAGACATTTAAGAAAACTATTTCTGAACATGGAAATGCTTGATATTTTATTTTTATTGCTTCTGATACTCTGGAAACCATTCTTGTGCTTTTATAGTACCATTAAAACTACAAGGACATTAGCACTCAGAAATACTTATTTTATTGGAGATCCTTCTGAAAGCCCTCCTCATAAGAAATTTTGCTCCAACTTGAGAATTATGGATTTTTTTTAATTATAGCCAGCACTAATGAGATTACTGCTAGTAGCAGCTGTTGTTGGAAAATATTGCCACTGCTGACACCTGGAAACAAGAAGATTGAGATCAGGAGCCTGCCTGCTTTCATATCCATTTCACAATCTAGTCTAGCTCTTAGTAAACACAAGGGTCCACACACAAGGAAAGTCACCATTAACTTTGCTGCTTATTATTAAAATTGCTGCCAGAATCACAATGGCTTAAATGGCCTAGGAGGATAAAATATTCCCCTATTCCCATATGTGATATTTGTTTTCTTATTCCCATACTTATTCTGTAGGAATAAGGACTGTGTTATCCAATAAGAAAATAAAATATGCTCTTCTTCTGGTTGTGCAAACGAGATGAACAAACTAATAGGACTTCGTAAATCTAGTACATTTCACAAACACTGGAAGAAATCTCAAATATTGAATGTGTGAAAATTAAAATACAACAACGAAATATTGTGCAGTTTTAATCACCTTTAATTTCTCTCACAGATATTTCTTGGTGCATTATCTTTTGTTTACTTCGCTAAAGCATTATCAGGAAGTTATCTGAAAAGTACCATTACCCAAATAGAAAGACGATTTGATATTCCTTCTTCTCTGGTTGGTGTTATTGATGGCAGCTTTGAACTTGGTATGTGTTGTGGAATCCCTCTTTGCTGTTAGACAAAATCACTGACAGTTCATTGTGGAAAATGTTTGTGTAAATCCTACAGACCTCTGAAAGTTAAATGAGATTGATTTGGCAAGAACAAGTGTAGCTTTTCATAGGTATTTACATTTGGTATGGTAGAGATGATACTGTTCTTAATGTGAATGTGCTCAGTGGGGCTCTACATTTTTGTGGTTAAAACCAAAATGTGGTTATTACTACCACAGTTTTTCTGAAACCAGAATTGTCTGGATTCTCAATGTGATCATTGGCCATTTTGTAGTCTACTCCCTAACTGTATTGCTACACATGCTTCACTTACAGTGTGGACTGAGCCAGAGATGTGTTTAACCCACATGTTCAATTAAATTATGAGATAAGGTTGCTGCTGGTATTAAATCATGTATTTTTCTTTGCTGGTTAAGCCCAGCTAGACATGTGGCAAGGAAATTATGGAGTTCCTTGAAGCAATGGTTTGAAGGAGTTTTTTTATACTACTATTTAGTTATAGGTGAAAGATGATGAATTGTTTTGCAAGAAGTTGAGCCTTTTCTCTCCTGCACTTGCCACTGGTGCCCCATGAGTAATGTATCTCAGTGATTTGGTAAGCAGTGAGAATGCAAGGGTATATTATCTCCAGTGGTTAGTTCCTTAAGGTCACTCTCACACTCCAGCTTCATGTAATGTAAATGTTACTTTTGACTTACCTCCAAGTCTTTTTGTGTGTTTTACAAAATTTAGTACTCAGTAAATGAACCGTTGGCTAAACTGTGCAAAGCCTTATGTTTGACAATTGCTTTCATTTTTTTGGTGTGCTAGTGGCTGGCAGCTGGGTAGTTCACCCTCCATGTTTCTAGCAGCCTTGCAGATTCCCATGTTCTTAGCAATGAAGATCTTAGACACCTGTTTGGATACAATAGGGAACAATGGGGAGAACCAGCAACATCCCCACTGGCATGTACTAACACAGGCCATAGTTTGATAATCACTGGTTTACAGAACAGTTCACTTATGGTCAGATTGTAAATCCTAGTTATTTTGTATTTTTTCAAAGGGAACCTCCTAATCATAATTCTTGTAAGCTACTTCGGAGCCAAACTTCACAGACCAAAGATAATTGGAGCAGGTTGCCTAATAATGTCAGTTGGAACAATTTTTATTGCAATGCCCCAGTTCTTTATGGGACGGTAAGTGCACAACTAACTTAATTCTTCAATTCAGAAAGAAAGGCAAAAGCACAGAACTTTCATCTAGTCATGAACATAAAACATGCAACTATTTCAGCAATATAGGCACTGATTGGAAAACTGCTGTTAGCAACAAGAAACAATACAGTTATTATACATCTTTATTTATGCTTTATTGTTCCTAAGCAAATAAAATAAGATATATTCTGTCAGTATTAATTCAAATCTGAAATAGAGTTATGATTTAGCTAGTGCTTAGTGCATTCCAAAATTCTGTGTGATAGAGTGAAAGAGACATGCGTGACTTAGAGGACGCTTTCATCCTCTAACGTTCTATATTAGCTCAGATTTGGGGCCCGCGGTATGAGATGGTGTCTGTTGAATTGTGAGCGTGTTAAATTGGGAATACGCAAAGAGAAAGAAATACAGCTTTCTTACACAGTATACTATTGCTACAGTGGTGGGGGGGTGTAATAGGGTGCTCCTCTGGAGACAGCTGAGATCCCCCTTGTGGTGGGTCAGTACTTGGTTACCTACTCTGATTCCCTAGTCTGGCCACCTTTCTCTCTCTCTTGCCTGCAAAGGCTTGGTGTTAATTGGGATTGTTTTTTGAGAGATCGTCTTTAAAGAACCTAAGTCTGGGCTGTAGGTGCCTTGTTTCCCTGTACTGTCCCCAGCCCTGAATCTGACTGGGCTGCATGAGGCTTTGCCCTTCTCTCTTTCTCCTTCCCCACTTTTTGCTGGTGGGCGGATGCCCAGCCCTGCCAGCCTCCTGTCTGTCTTAGTCCTCCATTTTCCAGGCTCTGGCCAGTCCACGTTTTCTGCCCCCTAGCCTTTTGCCCCCACAAAACCATTAAGGTAAGTCCAAAAAAAAAAAAACCCAGAGGAAAAAAATCTCGGTGGACTGGGCACTCTGCAAGAGCATTCTCCTTGCCACCCCTCACATCCACTCTGGTTTACCAAGTATTACTATTGCCATGAGCAGAAAGAAGGGGGGTGGCAGGAAGAAGAGTAAGCAGGTCTCTACTGGGCTCTCAAGACAGTCCATGATCCTCAAGGTATCCCACTTCCCCAGGCCTCTCTGGTGTGCCCATGAACAATTCTTTGTCTGGTTGGGCACACTCAGCCCCCCTGTCCCAGGGCAGCTCCTCCAGGGTGAACATAAAACCACTTTCCAATTTTTGTATCCCCTTCCCATGACTTTCCAAGGCACAAAAAGGCAATAAATAAATAAAGGAGATCCTTAGTACTTCCAGGACACGTGCTTCTTCATTCAGGGTCATCAGAAGTCCCTGCTTTCAAGCACCAGCATTCCTGGCCAGAGGGGTTAGCACCCTTGCCTCCCTATGGGGCTCTGTCTCCCTCTGCTGCCATGGCCCATTCCCTTCCTTTGGCCTGGGGAGAGTTAATATCTCAGTCAGCCCTGCCTGCCTGGCCAGATGAGTGGACTTCCTCCTCCCTGGGTTACAGGTGTGTTCAATCTCTTGTTTTCCCACTGCTGGGTTCAGCAGCAGGCTGACTGCAGACTGAGCTTTGCAAATGAGTGACCCAGCCCAGGGCCTTGCCTTGACCCTTCTCTGGGTCCCTGGTCCCTCTCTGTACTGTAAGCTGCTTTCCCCATCCTGTCCTGGGGCTTGCCTTGATAGCCAAGGTCCTCTCCACCCTGTCCATGCTGGCGGGTTTCCTCCATACAGCAGATAATCATCCCCTTCTCTTGGCTACAAAGGTTAGGCCCTTAAAGGGGCTTGCTTCCTTTTTTTCTCTGACTCCTCCTCTCTGTAACAGGCATAGACGACAGAGGGCCAGGGCTAACAGAGCTTAGCCCACCCTACTCCAAACTAATTTTGCGGTGGCTGGCACCATGGCACTGCTGTCCCACAGTGCCTGATGCTGCTCGGCATGGAAGTCCACTGTTTCAGCACTGCCACCACAGCATCATGCCCACCACACCCACCAGGCACTCCTCCACCTCCACCTCAGCCCCCCCAAATCATATTTTCTCCTGCCACTAATGGTAACAAGGCTGGGGTTCCTTGTTACAGGGGGTTGACCTCATCTGGACCCACGGGCCAGATGGGCTGGTCTTGAGCTCAGGTCAACTTGAGACCCAAACTCAGAACTGGATGATGGGATTCCATGGACTGGATCCAGCCCACAGGCCATATCTTTGACGCCCTTGTGCTCAGTAATAAACATTCATGTGTTCAGTAATACCCATTCATAAAATATGTAATCCACTCAGTAGATCAGGTTCGTTATAGTCAGGTGCATCATAAAAACAAGTCAAGTGCTATGTGCCTGTGTCCTATGAAGATGAAATGTGTATTTTTCTTGTAAAATCGTATAAGATTGAGAATTAAGAAAATTTAATTTCTGCACAGCTATAGGTATGAAATATTGCCTTCCTCCACAAACTCTTCTATCAGCATCTCTCCATGTCTACATAATAAACGCCAGATACCACTCTCAGTCTTGGATGCAGGTAACATATTTCCATATTAAAAATATTCTGTAATAATGTTATTGTCTTTAAAGAACCCCTGCCCACCACCCTGAGTAACATGCCCCCCTGTCCCAGCTGAGCAGTTTGTCCCAGCCCCAGCCCCAGCCCCAGCCCCAATCCCGCCCTTCCCCACACCACTTCCCTTCCCCCAACCCCAACAGACTTACCAGCTGCCAGGTGCCAGTTAATGTATGGCCAAATCTCTGAATCAGCTGAATCTTTTCTGAATCAATTCAGATGCTTCAAATCAATTTGGAGCTTTTACTTGGTCTCCTCATTCAATTTGGATTCAGAGATTTGGTCCCCGAATTGAGCCAAATCTCCTCTGAATTGAATCAGCTACTGAAGCTTTGCACGGCCCTACTCTTTTGTTATCCTGGTGAAAATCTGCCCAGTTAGCTAAGTTATAAGGTTTTTTGTTCTCACACGTTATGGATATATGATGCATAACAGAGCTGTGCAACTGGAGGCCCACAAAGGGTTAATCTGTGGCCCTGAGCTCCTGCCAGACTGCTGCTGCTCCTATCACTCTGGCTGCTCTGGGCTTCCACTCTGGCTTCTACTTCCTGTACCTCCTCTAGGAAGCAGCATGGCATAGTGCAGCCTGCAGTGCTTGGGAAGTCTGCAAAAGCAGAGCAGCAGGGAGCCTGTTACCAGGGAGCTAGGGGGAGCT